CCTCTCTGCCTGGAATGCCCCATCTCTCGTCCTGGGTCTGTGCCCCGGGCTTAGAGAGAGGGTGTGGGCTGGGAGTAACAGAGGCATGGCTGTGAGGACTCACCAGTTAATTCCTCTTTTCTAGAATGACTTGGCGTCCTTCAGCTAACATTTATGAAGTGCCTAGGATGAGCCAGGCACTCGGCTCATCTTATATCGGTTCTTTAGTTAGACTACCTCAAAACAACCCTGAAGAGCAGGTACTATTAACCCCATCTTATAATCGAGGAGACAATGCTCAAGAGCTCGTATGGCTTACTCGCTTCTCTCAGTTATGGAGCACAGGGCTGGGATATCCATGCTGTGTGACTGCAAAGCCCTAAATCCATGCTTCCAGTATGTTCTATTTCCCATGGTGCCTTCCCTGCCAGCCTGCCGCAGTCTCTCGAGAGGTTTGATGCGCCAGAAGGGGAGAGGTCTGGAGGACACTCAGTGTGAGGGCCGAGTCTGAGGGGCTGTGGGGGGGACTTTCCTCTGCGTCTCCTGGAGGGCCTGTTTCAGTCACTTATATTCAGAAATGTAACGCAGCCACATGTGACGTGAATTCAGGCCCTCAAGGAGTCTGTCCTCCCTTCCTTGGCCCAGAGGGTGGCGCATCTTCCAAGTCACCATGGGAGACTCAGGCCCACTGTCCTGATAGAGAAAAAGGCTTTAAATTCACAGAGACGCCTGCCCCCCCATTATTCTTTATCACATCACCATGTTGTTTTGCCATCGGTAATTATTTTAGGTGTCAATTGACTTGTTAACTTTCCATCTGCCCCGCCCGAAGCAAGCTCTGTGGGGGCAGGGACCTTATTTCTCTAATTTTTGTTGGAGCTCCATCATCTAGTATGATAGCTAGCGATAGGAAGTGATAAGTAGATTTTGAATGAATGAATGAATAAAATGAGGGACAGCTGGCTCCAATCCTGGCTCTATCATTTAAAACCTTTGTGGCTTCCAGGAAGCAATTCACTTTTCCTTATCTGCAAAATGGACTCACAATGGTGGTTTCCTAGGACTGTTGAGAAATTTAGAGACAGCATATATAGAGCTGCTCAAAAAAGGTAACCCTCACGTCCTCCTCCTTGATATAATTGTTAATTAGCACCTCAACTCGGTTGGCGGGGCAGAAGGATTTTATTCAGACCTTTCCTTGATGTACCCACACCCTGAACTCCTGCCATCTCACCAGGCGGGAGCCAGTGTCCACTGAGAGCAGCTCCTGTAACACGCTAACCTCTGCCAGGAGGACCGCAGCACGGATCTGCCTGGGCTGCTAAGAAACCGTGGCCAGCTCCAATTAGGAAGCCCTTCTGAGGAGCTGAAGGTTTTGAGGTTAACGCTGAAGAAACAGCTCCCTTTACACAGCCTTTTAATTAAATGCGCGCGTTTATTTTCCGGAGTTCATTGAATCATTTTACCCACATCGTGGTGTTTGACAAAGCCCAGTTGCTTTGGGTAATGGAAAAGTACAAAATGAGGAGGCTTCATGGAGTCTGTCAGATGGCACAGGCACTGCTGCTTCTGTGCCCCTTGGCGACTGGGCGCTCATCTGGGTGGGGACCCGGCATCTGGAAGGAGGGGTCCAGGGAAGCATTTCTTGGTCCCTGCCTTTGGCTTGGTTCTTGAGATTCCAAGAACCCCAATGCTAATTAAGGATCTGAGTCCACCCAGAGGTGGACCCAGGGCTCCAGAGGCTAAGGAACAATTCCCATGCACTTCTTGGTGCACATGTCTTGTGCTGGGCTGCATTGTGCGTGACCTGCCCTCAAGATGCTCACAATATTGTTGGAGAGACAGGGTTCATGCAGAAAATATTACCGGAATACTTTTCTGCTGAACCAGGCTGTAATGATTATAAAGCAAGTAAGAGCCACCATTTATGCATTGCTTGCTATATCCTGGGTCCTTTAAATATGTTATCTCATCTGACCCTTGTAACCTGTTCTCTGAGGATCAGCAAACGGGGGTGTCCACTCTATCTACAGCAATTTTCCTAAGAGGGGGACAGATTTGGCCTCAGGGGGCTGGCTTCTGCTTGGTTCCAGCGTTTGTCTCCATAGTGACTTCTTGTCTTTCCCTGCCAAAAACAAAGGTTCCGACAATGCTCAGCACATAGTAAGTCCTTCTCTGTGTTTCCTTGTACCCTTCCTCCCGCGTCACTGCGGCTTAGTGAGGTCATCTTTGAGATGCGGCTCCATCCTGCGCAGGCAGTCACCGCCCCCCGCCCCCCCACCCCCCAGCAGAAATGGTGCCACTCAGCAAGGTTCTCAGACCTTCGTCAGGATTCAGGCACAGGGCTTGAGGAAGACTGCTCAGAGCTCGGCACCAGGGTGGTGCCTGGTGATGGACGAATCCCTGGGTTGTCTGGACCCTGGTTCTGAAAGCCTGGTCGCTGGAGCAGTGGCAGCAGATTGGGGTGGCCCAGCAGGCTGGGTTCTAACAGTTCTGCAGGTGATCCTGATGGTGCTCAAGTGTAAGAACTGCTGCTCCAGGTTCTCAAACCTGCTTGCTTGTCAGAATCACCTGGGAAGTGTTCTGTGTATTTTTTTATTATTAACTTAATCGTAGAATATATTCTTTAAAATAAACTTTACTTTTTAAATGGTTTTAGATTTACAGAAAAATTGGGAAGATAATACAGAGAGTTCTTATATACCCCGCACGCAGCTTCTGCTGTTGTTGTTAACGTCTTACATTAGAATGGCACATTAGTTACAGTTGCTGAACCAATACTGATACCTTATTATTAACTAAAGTCCATATTTTATTCAGTTTTTGCCTAATGTCTGTTCAAGCATCTCATCAGGATCCCACGTTACATTTAGTTGTCCTGTCTCCTTAGGCTCCTCTGAGCTGTGACAGTTTCTCAGACTTTCCTGGTTTTTGATGACCTTCACAGTTTTAAAGTGCACTGATCAGCTGTTTTGTAGAATGTCCCTCAATTTGGATTTGTTTGATGTTTTTCTCATGGTTAGACTGGGGTTGTGGGTTTTTGGGAGGAAGACCATAGAGGTACAGTGCCCTTCTCCTCACACATGTCAAGGGAACATGCCAGCACCATGACTTGTCACTGTGGGTGTTGGTCTGGATCTCCTGGCTGAGGGGGCTTTGACTTCTCCATCAACCCCAGTCAGGTTTCTCCTCTGTCGAGTTACTCTCCCCGCCCCTGACTTTCCACACTGTACTGTTTGGAAGGAAGTCACTATGCACAGCCCACACTTAAAGTGGGGAGTTTTGCTCCCCCTCCTTGAGGGCAGAGTATCTATGTAAACTATTTGGAATTCTTCTGTGTGGGAGATTTGTCTGTTCTCTCCCGTTTATTCATTTATTCAGTCATTTATTTATATCGATGTAGACTCATGGATATTCTATACTTTCAGTTATAATGCAATACTACGCTCTTTTGTTGATCAAATTTTCCATCTTTGGCCATTGGGAGCTCTCCCAGTTGGCGTTTATGTCCTTTTGACATACCTCCATAATTGTGAAGTTTATCATTTTTTTTCAGTACTTCCTTTCAGCCACTACAAGCTTATCTTGTCTATTCCCTGCCCCAGTCCTAGAATCAGCCATTTCTCCAGGGAGCCCTAGTTCCTTTTATTGAGAATGGTATCAGAAACCCAGATCTGGGGGCTAGGTGTGCTCACTGCTAATTGGGACGTCATTGATTCTGGGCGCTCTCAGCTGACAGCAAAGAAGTACACATGTATGTACTAACCTGTGTGTACACACTTATCCATCAATATTTCTGTATATAACCATCTGTATCTGCACCAAGCTAAACATGAGGTCATACTGATCTCTTCAACTCCAATCCATTACTGCATGGATCATTCTAGCCTCCTCCCCTTGCTTCTCCGTAAACTCCCACACCAACAGTGAGAAACCTTGTTCCTACCATCTGCTGTCCATTTATGTACTTGCTCAGCTCCAGCATACATGCGTAGTGGTATCAGAATCGTCAACGCGTGCCCGCCTCCGTGGGAGTCAACTTTATCAGCTGGAGTGCAGTGCTGGTGTTCAGGTTATTTGCCTTTACTTTTGCAGACTCCACTCATTCCTCAAGTTACTTAGGTCAGCTCCTCTCCCCCCACCCCCTTCAGTGAGGTTGTTTCATACATTTGTAATACAGTTGGATTCTTCTGTCACATTCTACATCTCATCCTCGGATTCCTCCAGTCTCTTAAATTTTTTTAAAATTTGCGTACTTTAAGGTTCAGTGTGCTGTAAAGTTCTTTGGGTTTTGACAAATGCATAACGTCTCGTATTCACCACTATAGTATCATACAGAATAGTTTCACTGCCCTAAAAATCCCCTGTGCTTCACCTTTCCACCTTCCTCTTATTCCACCTGAACCCCTGGAAACCACTGATCTTTTTACTGTTTCTACACTTTTGCCTTTTCTAGAACATCATATAATTGGAGTCATGCAACGTGTAGCCTTTTCAGACTGGCTTCTTTCACTTAGGAATACGCATTTAAGATTCACTCATGTATTTTCGTGGCTTGATAACTAGTTTCTTTATACTGCCGAATAATATTCCATTGTATGAATGTGCCACAGAGTGTTTATCCATTCATCTATTAAGGGACATGTTGATTGCTTCCAGTTGTTGGTGATTATGAGTAAAGCTGCAGTTTATGTTTTGTGGCCGTAAGTTTTCAAAGCAGCGGGTTCCCCGTTGCTGGAGGCATCTGAGCAGAAGCTGGGTGCGCATGGGTGGGTGTGTGGGAGAGGGGATTCAAGGATCAGGTGGGGCCCTTCACAGAGATCCCTCTTTGCCCTCCTCCAAATTTGGAGATGGAGCAGTTAAGCCATGGATGCTTAACTTCGCCACCCCAGAACCGAGGGTGCACGGGGTCCCCGCCACATCTGACCCTGTCGATGGAAATCTGAACGTTCTCTGCTTGCGACGCTCTTGTGCGATTGTTCCTGTGTCAGTTTCTCACTTTGTTGGTCTGACTTTGGCAGGCTCCGCGCTGACCAACGGGGCATTAACCCTGCACAGCCCCGTGAAGAGGAAGCTGGAGGCAGAGAAGGACTACGTCTTCGACAAGAGGCTCAGGTACAGCGTCCGCCAGAATGAGAGCAACTGCCGGTTCCGGGACATCGTGGTGCGGAAGGAGGAGGGCTTCACGCACATCCTGCTGTCCAGTCAGACCTCGGACAACAATGCGCTGACCCCCGAGGTGAGAGGGCCAGCATCAGAGGCAGGGTCCGGCAGGGAGGGCCTCTCCCTCAGTCAGAACAGGGCACAGCTTTCTCTCTGTTCCATTGGGGAGCTGATGCAAATAGCCAGCACGCACACAAGCCTGGCTGTAGGACACAGTGTGCTGATCACTTGGCATGTGTCATCCATGGGATCTTTATGACCAGGTGACGATGTCATTCCCTTGTACCGTGAAGACCCTAGTAGACAGATTCAGAAAACTGATCAGAGTCACTTAATTAGTCAGGAGGCAGCCGGAGAATCAAAAAATCATATTTTTGGCTTTTCCAGCTAAACTGCATGGTAGTCAATATGTCAAATTTCTGTGCTTTAGGTGGAATGCTATTCACTCAGCTCACTTACATTTTTTTATTGAGATATAATTCACATACCATAAATTTCACCCTTTTAAAATGTACAATTCAGTGGTTTTTAGTATAGTCACAAAGTTGTGCAACCATCACCACTATCTAATTCCAGAACATTTCCATCACCCCGAAAGGAAACTCTGTACCCGTTAGCAGTCACTCCCCTGCTCCCTTCCCCGAGTCCCTGGCAACCAGTAATCTACTTTCTGTCTCCAGGGACATTTCATGTAAATGGGATTGTACAGTGTGTGGTCTTCTATGACTGGCTTCTTTCACCGAGCATAATGTTTTCAAGGTTTATTCGTGTTGTAGCATGTGCTTCATTCCTTTTCATTGTATGGTTATACCACATTTTGTCTATTAGTTCTTCGGTTTAGGGACATTTGAGTTGGTTCCACTTTTCGCTATTATGAATAATATTGCTAGGAACATTTGTGTACACATTTTTGTGTGAACATATGTTTTCAGTTTTCTTGGATATACTCCTGATCGTGGAATTGCTGGGTCATATGGTAACTCCATATTTAACTTTTGGAGGAATTGCCAAACTGTTTTCCACAGCGGCTGCACCATTTTACATTCACACCAGCAGTAAGTATGTGAAGGTTCAAATTTCTCTGTATCCTCACCAACACTTGCTATTGTCTGTCTTTTCGATGGTAGCCGTTTTAGTGGGCATGAGGTGGTATCTCATTGTGGTTTTGATTTGCGTTTACCTAACATCTGATGATGTTGGACGCCTTTTCATGTGCTTATATTGGCCATTTGTCTATCTTTGGACAATGGTCTATTCAAATCCTTTGCTTATTTTTAAAATTGGGTTTTTTTTAATTTTGAGTTATAAGAGTTCTTCGAATATTCTGGATACTAGGCCCTTTTCAGATACAGGATTTGAAAATACTTCCTCCCGTTCTGTGGGTTGTCTTGTTACTTTCTTGATGGTGTCCTTTGACGTACAATTTTTAAAATTTTGATGCAGTCCAATTTATCTTTTTTCTACATTACTTTTTTAATGCTAATCATATTGTCTTAGGTGAACAGAACTGGGAGACAATGAATACTTAATACAGTTAGGTAGACAACACCATTCAAAATATGAGGTACTTAGAGGGAAGCAGTGAAGAGATTCTTGATGGTGCGAATGTGGGAAAGCCCTCAGCCAGGCAGCCCTCTCCAGCTATAGCCACCTGGGGCAGGGCGTAGAGTGACAATGACAGCAGCGACAGTGCAGTAGCTCTTTGTGCTTTGTATTTATTATTATCCCATTTCATCCCACCAGCACCCTCCTGATGTAGGATTATTATGATCCCCATCTTACAGATGAGGCAACAGGCTCAGAGAACTTACCAGGCCTGGGAGCACACAGCTTAACTGAATGTCCCTTTGGGAGGACAGGGCAGGCACCCCTGTCACTTTTGCTCACCGTTTTGTCTCTCGCATGCAGCCCAGTGCCTGGCGCATTGAAGACAGTTAACTCCAAACCCCCTTTCTCCTGACCCCACAATATCCTGCACTCTGCTTTCCGTAGTACCAATGAAGACATGGAGGGTTGACCACAGGGGTGTGTTTTGGGGGGACACACTCGGTAGCACTTTGAGGAGTGCTGCCCACCCAGACTGGGATTGGTAGGATGGCCTGGCATTGCCCAGTGTATCCACACACTCGGGGAGGCCCAGGAAGTGGGGTGGGGTGGGAGGTGCTGTGTCCTTGAACTTGTTGTCACATGTCCTAGCATTATGATTCACATGGACTGTGGTTCTTTTACAGAGTTGTGGGTGCAGCAGTCAGGAATGACTGCCAGCCTGTAAGGGAAGAGATGTGGGTAAAGCCTTTGTAGTTTGTGGGGCTTGTGATCGCCCATCCTTTAAGCATGGTGTTTTGGAGTCTCTCCCTCCTCCACCTTCGGGAACCACTTTGAGGTCCTCTGCTGTGTAGACCTCTGTGTAGGATTCAGAGTAGTCCAGAGCCTGTGGGTTTACCCCGAAGGCTGCTCTTTACGTGTTTATACACCTGGAAACCTTGTTATTTTAAGCTCATCATGAAACAGCCACATGAGACCAATTCTTCCTGGATTTTTTCTACTTCACTACTTTTTAAAAGCATGCTTTAAAAAGGCACAGCATTTTCCTTTGATAAATTGAATAAAATGTGAAGTCTCCCAGTTTGCTCTGTCTCTTTGGAGCAGCTTTGTATGTTAACTATTGCCTACTTATTATGGAAAGCATCCTACTGATTTAGGTGCACAGGGTCTCACCTCCTGAGAAGTGGGCTTGGTTAATTAGGGCTTCCGTTCCTAATGGGTGTCTGTCGGTAACAGAACAGAAGAAGAATGGAAAAATCTTATTGATCTGGTGTTTTCAGCTGTCTCAACAACCAAAGTGGATTGACTCTATGGATAAGCTGGCTAACTGGGTAAAGCAGCCCCAGAAGAAAGATCCTACGGAAATGAAGAGGTGGTGTTAGCAGAGGAATACAGGTTTGAGAGTCTAGCAGACCTGGGTTCGAATCCTGCCTCCACCAGCTCACCACTTCTGTCAACTTGGGAAGTTACTTTGCCTCTCTGAGCTTCCTCATTTATAGAAATTATACAGTATCTTGCTTGTGGGATTAGAGATAATATCTGCAAAGAGGCTCACAGAGTACCTAGCTCATAGTAGGCAATCAGTAGATATTCCTGTCATTGTTAAGATGGAACAGAGGCGGTTTAATGGGCACCAGCAGACCCAGCCTTCCTCATTCATGGAGGCGCTGGAGGGAGGCCACCTTCACAGTCATAAGTGAATTTCTCTTTCAGGTCGTATATGTGGCATTGATTAGATTGGCTTCATGGGCAGAAATTCATACATTCCTGAGCGTGTTAACTAGATTCTGGGGCTAGTGGGTGTGTTGTAATATTTCTGCTATCTGGAATATAGCAGAGGACCAGGAGAATAATGAAAATGCCTCTTAAGGAAAGAGCAAGCAAAACAGATTACCCAAAGTCTTGGTGACTAGAATCTCATCCACTTCCCCGTTAGGAGAGGACCCCACGCCCTCGCTCAACTCCCAATTTTCTTCAGTGCTCCCAGCCTCAGCAGACAGCAGCACCACCATCCCCGGGAGCGCACCAGACATGCAGAATCACACCTCACACCCCTCTTGATCTAACTGCCAGATCCACACCATCCTCAAGCTATTTGATTCTTAAATAGTCCCTAATATGTTTCCTTCTCTCTGTTTCCATCATACCCATCATAGTCCACACTACTAGGCTGTTTTGTCTGGGCTATCACAATAACCTACTCACAGGTCTGCCCACTTTCACGATTCCTGCCCTGTAATCCATTCTCCACAAGGCAGGCAGAGTGCTCTGCTGGAAATGCAAGTCTGATCAAATCACCCCTTCCACACACACACACTTTGAACACATCAATGGCTCCTGATCACTCTGGTTAAGAATCAAAACCTTTAACGTGGCCTGTGGGGCCGATGCGTTCTGACCCTTCAGCCTCACCTCATAGCACACATCACTCTTCTCTCCTCCTTCATTCCAGTCACCCTGGATCTCTTTCATGCTCACACCTGCCCCAGGGCCTTTGTATATGCCTGTCTTCCTGACTGAAACAGCCTTCCCTTCCTCCTTGCTTAGCTGACCCTTGCTCTTCCTACAGATCTCAGCACAGCCATCACTTCTGCAGGAAAGTCTTCCCTCACCTCCCTGACCAAGTCATATTGCTCTCTCTTATGCTTTCCTAGCACTCTGCACCCCTCCCTTTTGGAACTTATCACAGTTGTTGGTGTACATGTATTTGTGTGGTAATTTGTTAAATGTCTGATTCCACCCATTAGACTATAAACTTCTTGAGGAGGTAAATACTGTGCCATTCACTCAGTTCAATAAACATTTATTAAATTCTACTATGTGCAAGGTTCTGGACTAGGTGTTAGAAGGGTTATACAGATGAGCAGAATACTGTTTTAGCTCTTAAGGAATTGTATTAGTTATCTATTACTGCGTTAACAAAGTGCCCTAAACTTAGTATCTTAAAAAAACAAACATTTATTTTTTTCACAGTTTCTGTGTGTCAAGAATCTGGGCCTGGCTTAGCTGGATGCTTCTGGCCCAGGGTCTCCCACAAGCCTGCAGTCAAGGGGTTGGCTGGGGCTGCAGTCTCAACCGAAGGCTCAGTGGAGGATCCACTTCCAAGCTCACCCAAGTGGCTCTTGGCAGGTGTCCAGTCCTCACTGGCCAGAGATGTCAGTTCCTTGCCATGTGGCTACTCCACATGGGCTGTGGAGTAGCCTCTCCATAGGGCTACTCAGGACATAGCAGCTTGCTTCCTCCAGACCGAGAGCTCCAAGAAAGGGAGATAGCAAAAGATGACAAGACAAGCTACAGTCCTTTTGTATCCTAATCTCCTCTTGAAAGGGACCTCCCATCACTTTTGCCATAGTCTCATGCTTAGAAGTGAGTCACTAGGTCCAGTCTACACTCAAGGGGAAGGGATTACACAAGGGTGTGAATACCAGTGGAGGCGATCCTTGAGGGCCATCATAGAGGCTGCCTGTCACAGGGTTTTAAATCAGGTGGGAGGCAGGATAAGGTAAGGATGCATACATTCTACAAGGGAGTTTGTCAGAAGTGTCATAGCAGGGATTTAAAATATTTGGGGTGTCAGGAGAAGGAAGAGTTTGCCTTTGGTCGGGGATATTTGGGAAAGCCTTCATGAAGGTGGTTGCAGGTGAGATGGGCCCTGAGTGACGGGGTTCAGCAGGTAGAGAGAGGGGCCCTGGTCTGTTCTCATTTTATACTCACTTCTCATGGAGTTGGTTATCTGGTTCCAACCCATGGCAGATCAGAAGCTAGAAGTAGTAGACGAGGAGTATGCTTTCTCCAGCAGACACTAACAGCAGGAGCGAGTGCATATCAAGGGCAGTAAATCTCAAGAACTTCAAAACGCATGGCGGTCTGGCACCGTTTGTTTTTGCCGCTCACCCCAGGAACCTCTGAGGGGACTGGTCTGTCACAGGCCAGCAAGTGACCACTGAGAGGTGGTTCCCTGTGTGCAGTGTATTCTGTTTAAGAAGGCAAAGGAGTGTGTGATAATTTTAGAACATTTTACTTGAAACAAACCAGTTACATTATAAAATTTGGGGTCTTTTATAAAAGAAGGTGGAAACTCAGCCATCAGTCCAAATTGGATTATCAACATGAGAAGGGCAAATGAAAGGTGTACTAACTAGATTTTTTTTTTAATTCAAAATTTAATTTTTTACTTCTGTTGCATGGATAAAACATAGATTTATTTCCATTTAATTCTTAAAGGAGGTGGCTGTTTTGTGTGGTATTGTTCAGTAATTGACCAGTGAGTGTGACCTCCGGCGGAGAGGCTGCTCTGAGTCTTGTGTAGAAACGCAGCTCAGCCTTTGCAGCAGGGTGTCTTGTATTTGCCTCTCCGAGAACAGAGTTCATGTGCAGGGGAGAGTGTGTCTATTTCTGGAGGCAGGTGGATTAAAGGACCCACAGGATAGTGGCCTCTCAGCTTTTTTGATGTTCACAATGAATATCCGTGGCTTGTACCCTGTTAGAGTGGAAAGTGCTTCTCCTGTCCTTCTCACAGGGTGCAGGCCGGGAGATTCTGGAATCAGGTTGACGTCTTGCCCTAGTTTTTCCACTAAAATTCACCCATTTATAGAAGTCGTCCTCCAGTACGGAGTAGCAGAGAAGGGATGTCGGGGTGAGATCTGCATCTTGGTTCTGCCCCTGACTGTGACCTCGGGCAACTCACTTCCCTTCTCTGAGTCTTCCTTCCTTCACCTGAAAGACTGGGATACCATTCCCGACCTTACAGGTCTTTTGTTTGGAATAGAATATGATGTGGAAATGACCTGATGCAGTGCCTGGCACCTCTAATGCTTAATAAATGGGGGGTTCTTTTGAAAGTATAATTTAAAAAACAATGCTCTCATAATATTTCCCCCGTCCCCTATGATTATGCCTATTGGATAATTAATAACGATCCTTTAAAAGCCTGTTCACTTATATTATCTCCCCCACTGGACTCGCAGCTCCACCCAGGCAAGGGCATGCCTTGTTTTCTCTTACCGTGTGCTCTCTGCACTTACTTGTTCTCCTTCCCGAACTTCTGTTGGATTGAGTGAATGAGCTTTTGTTTTATGCCCCATTCATTGTAATTCATGTACTTTTAAGAAGTTATCCTTAAGTTTTGTACAGAGAGCGAAGCCTCAGTGAAATCATTGCCTCTCCACCACTCTAGACCTAGAACCTTGCGTGCTCTGCAGTCATCTCGCCTCTCATCGTACACAATCTTATTGCCTAGGACTATAGTGCTACCTCATGCAAACCCAGACCCACCATGAGTCGATGTCAGGATGATGATTTTTACAGTCAATTCTTATATTGATTTCTCAGCACCTTCACCAGTGTCTTTGCTGGCTGTTGTTCCTTGCATATCAGTTTTTCTTTCAGAATATAGTTTTCTTCTTGAAGTGCATCCTTTTTTAGTTCTTTCAGTGAGAGTCTAAGAGTGGTAAACATTCTTTACTGAGAATGCCTGATTTTTACCCTTGCTTTTGAATGATAGTTTTGCTGGATACAGAATTTGTGTTTGACAGTTATTCTCCTTGGCACCTTGAAAATGTTATGGGTCTGATGCCAAAGCCCACTTCCCGTGTGCCACCTACAAGCCGTGCAAGGGTCTTAGTTGGATTAAGGATGAGGAAGAACTGGGCCTTCTAGAGATGGCTAACATACCTCACCTGGGCTGTGCACAGGACTTCTTCCCCACGTCTTGGAAAGGGCTGAACAAGGAATGCTGGAAGATCTGCAGAGATTTCCTGGGGATTACATGACTCCTGGCCAGGCTTCCACGTCTGCAGCTAGTGACCCACTGCCGCCTCATTAGCGCTCTGTGCCTGCTTCGGGGTGGTGCAGGGAGCTCTGGTTTTGGTGTTTCTCTGCTTGGTCTGGATGTGGCTTGTATTCAGGGGGGCTCCCTGCACAGGCAGAGCAGACTACTCGCCTCTGTCCTCAGGAGTGAGGCCACTGGCAGGCCTGAGGTCTGAAAGCCCGGGCTTATAGCATAGACACTTAACACCCCTGCAAATCCATCTCTGCCCGCAGATCATGAAGGAGGTCCGGCGAGCGCTGTGCAACGCCTCCACAGACGACAGCAAACTGCTGCTCCTCAGCGCGGTGGGCAGTGTGTTCTGCAGCGGCCTGGACTATTCCTACCTAATCGGCCGGCTGTCCAGCGACCGGCGAAAGGAGAGCACCCGGATTGCAGAAGCCATCAGGTGAGCTCTGCTCGTGTGTGGACGCGTTGGGGCCTGCCTACGGTTGCCAAATTAGCGAGTAAAAACACAGGCTGCTCAGTTAAATCAGAGTTTCAAACATGAAGAATTTGTTTTTAGCGTAAGTATGTCCCATGCAATATTTGAGACATACTTATATTAAAAAAATGTTTGTTGTTTATCTAAAATTGAGATTTTAATTGGGCATCTTGTATTTTCCTGCCGAAATTAGAGATGCCTTTGCTCTCTAGGTTAGATCCCACTTTATTCTTTTGATCAAAAAGAGATGTTATTTTCTCAGATTAAGCCCACTGTTTGGTAATGTCCATGTATTATCCACAGTACTCCCGCCCTCTGCCTGATGGTGAAATCTTTGAGTTTCTGGGCGTTTCTGGCTGACGTACTCAGCACTGGGGGAGGATGGAGGGGTTCCCTGGGAGGCTGTGCATTTGCAGGCCCAATGAGGTGGGGAGTGTCTTCCTCTCTCTTGTTGCCTTTGGGGCAAATGTTGGGATCCTGGGGGTGACATCCCATCGCAACAATCAGTATTTCTTTTGGGACACTGAAGGGTAGTTAGTTCCCCGTTCTTTATAGATTTATCAAAAGCAGGTGAGTGTGATTTCCAGTAAGGGCTGTGACCCATCTTCCACCCTGGGAAGGGCACACACGCTCGCTGCTGCGCCTTGCACCGTGCGCAGAGTCACGGTTCAGCAGTGCCGCCTGGTCCCTTTGGAAGGAACGCTTACTCCATGAGGTGTCAGGGATCTTGTGGGGCCTCCAGTCTCACTGCGCTGCAGTAGCGTCACACAGAGGCTGATTCCTGCGTGGCTGGGGGCTTCCAGGGGATGCACAGTCTCCAAGAGATGACATGGGGACACCTTCACGTGTGGGGTTCTGAGTCCCTCTTCAGGGTGAAGTGTGCCCTGGAGTCTCTGCTCCAGGACACCCGTGTGCTTCCTGCTGCAGAATTCTTGCCAGAAGAGATGTGAAAAGCCTGAACACTGTATTAGAAAAGGCATCGTGGTCTCATGCTGCTCTCAGGCTTTCCGGGGGCAGACAGCCCTGGCCATATCCACGGTGTTTCTCTCCTTGGACTCAGCTGTGTCTTTTCGCAGCTGCCTTGTCACGTGGTGAGGGAAGCAGCAGGGTCCCCAGAGAACTTCCCTCCTCATTTATGGGACCATCATATGGGACCCGAGGAAGGCCTTGGCCATAGCCATCATCTGGTTTATGCATTTCAGTGGAGGCATTAGCTGGATTTCCAGAAGCCCCAAACTTAAGGAGATGCTCAACACATTAGCTCACTTCTGGAGAAGCATGGTCAGTGGAATTCATACATTTGCCATCTCGTCAGAAGGTGAATTTCTCTTAGGCAGAGTGGAGGGAGAGATGGCAGAGGGCATTCTTCCCAATGCTTCCAAGGGAGTGGAAGTTCTAAATTCATGATCTGGCAGGGACGTGGGGAAAGGGAATGAGGATGTCCCCTGGTTCTCAGCCCTGACAGCACGGAGAATCCCCAGGGACCCTTTCCAAATCTCAGCTGCTTGGCAGCATCCCCAGGAGATTCTGAATTAATGAGTGTGGGGTGGGGCCAGTATATCTTTGGTTTTAAAGTCCCCTCGGGGGTTCTAATGTGCAGCCGGGGTTGAGAACCCTGCCCCATCCTAACCAAGAGGTTTCTACACCATTGACTGACAGCACTAAAAGTTTTAGAAACAAAAAGATCCTTATTTTTATGCAAGAGAGAAAAGGTGGTTCTAAGAGAAGAAGGTGAAGAGGAAGGGATAAGCAGGAGGTGAGGAGCTTCGAGAGAGGGTGGGTGGGGGGTGCAGACAATATGGCCCCATAGGGAAGAGTGCCCACGGGGTCACCACCAAACTCCTATGGGGAGGCCCCAGCTCCACCAACTTTGGGGTGCTCCCTCCAGCAGCCACACTCCAGAGTTTGGGACACGATGTGGCAGAGAAGCATTTCCCAGAGAATGTCCTGCAGAGAATGTTCCAGAGAAGTACTGTGAGTGAAGGGCACTGTCAATAAATGGGTTTGGGCCATGCTGCAAGTTCTGTCCCCACTCCTGCAGATTTTCCAGGCATGTTAACATATTTATGGTCTGAGAAGTCTCTTGTGAAAGAACTTGGTTCAAAATCTAGCATGGCTGAAACATATTTTGGCCATAGAACCTTATAACCTACTGACATCTCTTGCAATTCTCTTGAGACATGCATGCTCTTGGCTGGGCTGACTTCTGTGGTCCGGGCATGCTGCACAGCCACAGCACCCCCACCAGTGCTCCCACCCCGACCTCATCGTTTCCTAAAGAAAACATGTGCACACGTGACCCGGTACGCCGTGTTCACTCTGCAGATGTTCGTTGAATGAACTAGCAGATGTGGGAAGAGCTCGGATAATTCATTCAGCAGAAACCTCTATCCAGGACCCAAACAAAGCTGTCTGCCCGTCCTGAAAGAGAGGCTGCCCTCACCTGAACTCCCTGCAGGTGATGTGGTGGCCTCCTGGTGGCTTGCTAGGATAAATAGTGATGTGACACACCTGGACTCTCCCTGGCACATCATAAGTACTTAGAATAACTGTAAAGAATTATTTTCATTGTTACTACTGTTACTTCCAGCCACGAGTTCTAGCTAAGCCTGGGTCTGACTATGGAGTGGGCTTCTAGAGCATCCCTCTGGGGTCTCCGGGATGACTGTCACTGTGTGGATCTGGTGCTCACAGGCTCCATACCGGCTGACTTGGCTCTGAGCTTTGGCAGTGGGAGGGCTCCACCCCACAGCTCTGTTAAAGGGAGTGGGTAGCCGGGTCACAAAAGAAGTGCCAATTGTTCCACGTGAAATCCAAACATCCCCGTGTGCAGAGTTTTGCTTCTGAGTCTTCTCTAGGCCAGGAGAGCAGATCACAGACCACTGAGAATGGAGTGAAAGCTGTGTCCGCCCTCCCCAGCAGGCACACTGACCATAAGAACAGCAGCGGCCATCAGGCGCTCCCCGTGTGTTGGGCACTGTGCTGGTGCCCTGTGTGGACCGTCTCATTTAATTCTCATATGGCCTATGGGGAGACACCACTGGCTTTCCCATTTTGCAAGGAGGAAAATGAGGCTCTAGAGACTGGGTAACTTGTCCAAGAAGTTACCACTAGTTAGGGGCAGAGTTGATACTTGACCCCAAGTCTTTCAGACCTCAAAGTTCCTGCTCCTTCTGCCGCATCAGAACAGCCCAGCAGCTCGGGCAGGAAGAAGCCACAGGGCTCAGGCTGAGCGGAGGAAGCTGCGAGGGCTGGGGTCAGCATGATGGACTTTGATGCTGGGCAAGATGGTGAGCCATCTCCCCAGTGCAGCCCCGCCGCCCGAGTCAGGATCAGATATCTGAGCAGCAGCGTCTGTAATGCAATATCCTGTTTGCTGTCTGGCTCCTACATCCACTGGGCCCTTGCGATAGAGATCTACTGCTTGAGGTGAGAGGAAATGGATGGGGAGAGCGGTGTGCGCATCACATTTTCATATCAAGGAAATGAACTGACGAGGCTGCTTGGAGTGAAACAGGAGGGGTTGCGGATGGAGGGTCGGAGCTGTGCACACTTGGTCCCTTTAGCCTTCCTCAGGGGTCCCTGATGCCCTTGCACAGAGCTCAAGTTGGAAACCACAGAGCAAAAGTCTCTGGGGTCTGGAGGGGGAAGCTTCCAGAAGGTTGTGAGGGCTGAGGTGAGTTCCTGAAGGGCTGTTGTGTGGGTGATGGAGCAGAGGGAATGGGAGTATCAGAGAGGCCACACGAGGCCCACAGCAGGGAGGCGTCTTGATAGGGATGGACCCCCTTTGTTGAAAATATTCAGCGGAGGCCAGAGGATGCATCCTCAGGATGCTATCGAGGGAACTCTGCACCAAGTGGAAGAGTTGGCTCGATGGCTCTTAAAGTCCTTCCCAACTCTGAGATCCAAGATCCTGGAATTATATGAGGGTGTTTAGGAATGGGATGTCTGCCAAAGATGACCCAAATCCTGTGGTTCCCAGGGCCCTACAGAGAAGCCCCATATCCCCTGCAGACTCTAAAGTGCATTTGGTAAAAAGTCCTTGTTAAAAACCAGTGACTGAGGCCTTGAAGTTAGGAAGCCAAGCCTGGAAATGGGCCACTGGAAAACCAGGAATCAGAGGCCATGGTGCCAGGACTCCGTCTTTGTAGCAGTGTCCTTTTGGGGTCAGCTGCAGTGGAGCCAGCAGTGGCTGAGATAACTCTGTCATCTACTCACGAAGAGTCATACAGGAGTCAGAAATGTGATGCCTCAAGACTGGGTCGAGCGTGCATACTTTCATGACAACATACAGGTTGTAAGATACGCCTTACCCCAGCAGAATCTTAAGCAGTCTTCTCACAGTTGAATCCAATCCCAGCGTATCACTGTGATACCCACATCTTTTGGCTCAGTTGTGGTAGAAATTTACTTCTCACATATGCGAACCTAAAACAGATGTTACAGATCAGCCCCTGGCTGTCCTCCAAGTGGTGACTCAGGAACCTAGACTCCTTCCATCTTGTGGCTCAAAAACTGTCTTCCACGATTGCCGTGCTTGTCAAGATGACGGGGCTTGGAGGACCACATGGTGGGAGGTTTCCGTGCAGCAGGCCTGGAAGTGTGTGTATGGTTTCCACTCACATTCCATTGGCCAGAACTTGTTTACTTGGCCACAGCCAACTGCAAGGGAGGCTGGGAAATGTGTTCTAGCAGGAGAACCAGGGAGAAGAGGGAGGGGAAACCTCAGGTCTGGTGAATAGCTAGTACGTCACTGCCACACATCTGCAGTCTTTGCTCTCATTCTGGGAGACTCCTTTATGTATTCAACAGCTATTTACTGAGTGTTAATTCCAGTATGTTTGGAGACCAAGCAGTGCACAAGGCAGACCTGTGGGTTTCCTTGAGGAGCTGAAGGGGGAGAAGAATTCAAAAACAAGTAAGCAAGCAAATAATTAGGATAATTGCAAATTGTGGTAATGGTGTTTTCCAAGAAGTCTCAGAGGCCCATGCAGCTCATGTATAGTGAGCTGGGGTGAGAGAGACATGAGATAAGCCTGGAGAGGTGAGCAGAGGCAGACCAAGGCCATGGTTGGGAGTTTGGATTTTATTCTTATGAGTTCTTGGCAGTTTCCAATCTTCCACCTGAGAATAACAAAGGATGCAGGCTTTACTAGACATCTTGGATCTTTCCTCCATGTTCAGATGAATATTAAAATTTTATAGACCTTATATAGCAACTAGAGGGAAGGTGAAAAGCATTCTAAGGCAAAGGAAGTAGAGAGTGGAGGTTATCTGCTTAATAGGTGAAGGTGCACTCTGTAACTTTGCTCAGTGCAGAAGGCAGGGAGATACAATACTGCCTAATCCAGTAGCCTTAATTCCAGATGCCTCGTGCCTCTAGGGGAGCCCAGCGTCCTTCCCCAATTTTGGTCAAAGCCACTCTAACACACAGACCCTTGTCAGTGTTCTAGAACCACTCTTGATGAGTCTGGCATCCCTTTAGGTAATTCAGAATCACACAATCCTAGGGTTGAAAGAAATCTTAAATGTCACCAGTCCCCACCTGTGCCCACCATGTGACGCTTGAATTCCCTCTACAGCATCGCCTGAAGTGATCAGCGAGCCAAAATTGGAATACCTTCAGTAATGAGGAGTTCATACCTCCCAAAGCCGTCCGCTCCACCTTGGCCAGTGCTCTTAGAACATTCCTTCTCTCCTTGCGTTCAAATATGCCGCCTGGTAACACCCGCCTTTTGGTTCTATTTCTGGTTCTGGGTCTGAACCTTAACATTCAGGTTGCCTTCCTTAGGATATTGACTTTTTGTCAGTAGCTAAGGAGTGGAAGGACGTGGTAACTGGGTGCATGACCTGGGACCATCTGGGCAAACCGAGACGTGTAGTCACCCCATGAATTTCCCTGTCTCTGAAGAGCTGGCACCTGTGCTCCACGCCTGTGCCTGGGAGAGTGAGACCCTTGCCTGGCACCCACTCCCCTCTGACGGCCTGCGGGTGCTTCACAGCTTATTTCAGCCTCCACCTGGTCATCTGTTAAATAGGGTCTTCCCTCTTCTCCCAGGGACTTCGTGAAGGCCTTTATCCAGTTTAAGAAGCCCATCGTGGTGGCGATCAACGGGCCCGCCCTGGGCCTGGGCGCCTCCATCCTGCCCCTCTGCGACATCGTGTGGGCCAGTGAGAAGGCCTGGTTTCAGACCCCCTATGCTACCATCCGCCTCACTCCTGCTGGCTGCTCCTCATACACCTTCCCCCAGATCCTGGGTGTTGCACTGGTAAGCCCCCTTGTCTCTCCCGCGGGCTCTGTCTCTGTGATGCACGGATTTGGGTCCCCACAAGCCACCTCCTCTATCCTGGGTTCTGGATATGGCCCTTCATATGGATAGAAACCCAGGGGCGCTCCCGGCCTGCGGAACCTGCCAATTGTCTCAGCTTCCTCTGCCTCCCCAGAGGAGCTGGGATGAGGCTTGGCTGATCTCAGAGCCTTCGGGCTGTGGGGCCGGATGCCAGAGGCGGGGTGGCTGAGGGCTGAGAGGATGACGGTGATGTTTACTTATTGCACATGTACTGTGTTAGTTCACTTAACTAATTTAGTTAAGTTAGTTCACTTAACTAAGCACTTAACTAAGTTAAGTTAGTTCACTTAACTAAGCACTTTGTATATGTTATCTCATTTATCCCTCACAACACCCTGATAAGGTCCAGTGTTAGGGTGGGCTATGTGCTGTAACAATCCCACAATCTCAGGGGTCCAAACAACAAAACTTTCTTTCTCACTCATGCCGCAGTCCCGTGCAGATGTAGTAGCTGTCCACACTGACTAGGAACCCAGGCACCTTCCATCTGGTAGATCTGCCTTCCCTTCCAGCCAGCGGGGGAGAAGAGAGGGCCTGGAGGATAGCCTGGAGGTGGGGTATCTTTGCCTCCACTCACATTCCATTGGCCAGGATTCAGTCATGTGGCCATATCCACCTGCAAGGGAGGCTGGGAAATGTAGTCTTGCTGCGTGTCCAGGAAGAAGCAGAAGGGATTTTGGAGATCACAAGGCAGTCTCCACCCCAGGTGGAAACTGTTATGATTTCCATCTTACAGATGGAAAACTAAACTTGGAGCAGTTAAGGAACTTACCGTGTCACGGGTCAGTGAGCAGGCAGAGCCGTGTTTGAGTGAGGTGGTGCAGTCCGTTGTAGGCTGCCATCAGATCCTGCACCAGCAGCCAGAAGCAAGTCTGGGCGGGAGCAAGTAATAATAACAGTAACACAGAAAGCACTCATGGTGGCCAGTGCTTGACAGCCATTAATTCAGTCCATCCTCACTGCAACTCTGTAAGGTAGGACACTTGTTATCCCCACTTGACAGTTGAGGAGACTGAGGCTCAGCGAGGTTGAGTGGGTTGTCTAGGGTCACACAGTGGTAATGGCAGTTGTGGGATTTGAACACAAACTGTCTGGTTTCAGAGTCTGTGCTCTTAACCAGCGTGGTATAAAGTAGAACCCGCATCTGACGAGTGAGTCTGAGATTAGGAGTCTTTGCCTGTTGTTTGTTTGAGTGAGATGGTATTGTCTCAAGTCAGCTTGGATCTCCCTTGTAACAGCTCATCCCCATGAGAAGGGGGCTAAGCAGACCTGGTGCTGTCGACTCCTCCAAATCAGTTCTGAAAAGTCCCAGCGCCCACACATGTGGATGTAGGTGCTCTTGTCTAGTGTGAAAGAAAAAACCCGCCTTCATTCTGTCAAGGGACACTCATGACCTGTTTGTTGAACCCACTGGGCCTGTGGTCCACCCTGACAGTGTTTGCTTGCTCTGCTGTGACAGATGCTCCTTGACACCCCGTCCTCCATGCTCTCCATTCCTGACTTCTCTAGCACCAAGTGTGAAGTCTCCTTGGCCCTCTGATAATTGATCTCTGTTTGTCTCTTACGAAGCCTTGGGTGGGTCTTCTGATTGAGTTTGAGCTCCTCAGCACAGCTCAAAAGGTTTTCCTGAGCCAGCCATTCTTGATCCTTTTCTTGTTTGATCTCTGGCTTCAACATTCACATCCCAGCAGTTCCAAAAGCTAACTCCCAGGTAACTCCCAAGGCCTGTGAGCTCAGCTCGGGCACCACCTGCTGTCCTAACCCAGCAGACTGAGTTCCGTGCCTCCTCTGTCCCTCGGATTCCTGAGCTTCTCTGTCTCTCTCCCCACCCCAGACTAAGGTCGTTGGGGTGGAACCCTTTAGGTGCTAGGAGCACCTGGGACTTACTGCCCTCACTAAAGTACTGCTGGTATGAGATTCTGCACAGGGACGCCCGTTCGTTTTGATGCTCTGTGCTGTCTCTTTGATATTTCCATTCTGAAAAATGTGTCCACTGTGTCGCGTTACACACCAGAACCACATGGGCACTCTGATTGCGGAGGACCGAGTGGTTGTCCCTGCAAGGCTCTCCGAGCTTGTGTTGCCCACCTACTGTGTGCCAGACACTGTACCAGGCGCTCTTCTCAACATCTGCAAAGGTAGGTCTTCTTGTCCTCCGTTTTACAAATGGAGAAACTGAGGCCTAGAGATTTGAGGCAGTAGCGTAGCAGGTGTTGCTCCTTCTTTCAGCCAGCGAACCTCAGTGAGCTCTCAGTAGGCCAGGCATTCATTGTCTTACCTGATTAGAAATGCAAGGATGAGTAACACGCAGGCTTCATCCTCAGTACTCCCCAGGCCTTGGCACCAATGCGTGGCTGGCGTGGTCTTTCCCATTCTTTTGTTATCTCACTGAATCCTCACGGACGTCCGGAGGTGGCAATTGGTACCCACTTTAGAGATGAATAAACTGAGACTCGGAGAGGCAAAGAGATTTGCACAGGATCACACGGCAAAGCAGAAAGCAGAGCGGGGATGTCTGATCCTGCAACCTGGGCTTTTGTCTACACCTTTGCCTTCCTGCCTGGGGAGGTAGTAAACTACAAGTGGCCACACTGCTGTCCTTGGATAAGGTTCAGGGGTGGTTAGAGAAGACTCCCAGTGGGGGCACCTCTTGAGTGAGTCTGGAAGGATGGGAACCCCCATTCTGTCCCTTCTGTGTGGGCTCGTTGCTCGTTGATGCTAGCATGAAACAGAAGGGCAACTAAGATATCAGTGGAGGCAGTCACCAGCCCCTCACCCACCAGCACCACCTCGTCTACACAGCAGGGCCAACAGGTGGGCTTGACAGGGCTATCCAGATTCAGGCCCTCAGAGCTGCGTTAGGCTGCTCGTAGTCGCACCAGCGGCAGGAAAACGAGGCGGGCAGGGAGCCCAGGAAGCAAACACTTTCCCTTCTGAACGCAGCCACTGTGCTCTGCCCGAAGCTGGTGCCACTCCAGTTCCTCCCTGTCCCTTGTGGTCACAAAAATGTTAACATTGTCCAGTCTTATCAGTTTCTTTCTCTCTTTCATTGCAATCATTTCTGAAACCCCAGGAATGTTGCTCCAGGAATGAGACCCGTTCTTGCTGACTGCATCCTGGTCGGCTCCTTCTACTGAGTCCCTTTCTTCCATTTCTCCTTCCAGAGACAGAGGTGTTTCTAAATGAGTCTAATGACATGGATTTATCTTCCCAGCTCTAACTAAATGCATGCCGCAAGCTTGTTACCGGCCTGATAAATTTCTCTACTCTGGCATGAAAGGTCATCAGGACTGGTCAGTGACAACCAGAACACAGGGCAGCACGTGCATAGATCCAGAGGGCGAGAGAGCTTGGCTTTTCAACATCCATCCGAGAGCAGCTCAGCAGACGGGCAGGAAGGGAAGAGTGGGGGAGGCAGGTCAGGGAGGGGATTGTCTGCGGTGTGAAGGAGGTGGGGATTCATCTTGAAGGAGATAGGGACCTGTCACCTGGCCGTGACCATTGAGCCCTAATTATCAGTGGAGCGCTGCTTGTTGGTAGGTTTCAGCGGTGACTGCACTGTGCTCTGTCTGTGCCTAGGACCTTATCCACGTAGCTCCTCCAGAACGTGTCCGACAGCTGCGAACTTCAAAGCAAAAGGAAATTCTTTGGGGAGTGGGGTGCAGAGGAAACCGCAGAAGGCAGGGAGTGCTTTCTGCCCTTCATGACGGGGCAGTGCCTGTGCCCAGCCCTGGGCTACCAGGAGAGACACTCCTTTCTGCACTGGTATTACGGTATTACTCAGGACCTGTTTGGCTGCTAGTGATGGAGACACTTTAGGCGTAAAGGGGGAAGGAAGGTAATGGTTGCCGTGACTGGCAAGTCCAGAAGTGGAGCTTCCCTTGGGGCCGCCAGGGTCCAGGCATGCAAGCATCGTCAGTGTTTTTGTTCTCCATCCTCCTTTCTTTGTGCACCCGCCTCTTCACAGAGCAGGGACACAGCAGTGCGTGGCCCTTAAGCTCATTGACTTTAGCCCACAACCAGAGATGGAGAAAGATTCTTCCACATCTTCTCCAGTTGGAAACCTCACAGCTTTGTTTTCTAGGGCAGTTCATCTGTTCATCTTGGAGCAGTCATAATGGCTGGGGCATCAGCACTGAAATGTACCCAGCCTGAGGTGCCTGCCCGCTCCTGTGGATCTGCTGCCAGACATGGGGAGGGGTGTTGGGCAGACGAAGCCACACTAGGTACATGGCTTCTTCTGTGAATTTAATGAACGCTGTGGACCCTCTGCTCGGAAAGATGCACATAGACACGAACATTTGTATGTAGTTCCCAAAGCTTATCTAACCCCCAGTTAAGAATCTTGCCTTCGAGAGCTGGGAGAGCTGCATACAGCAAGCCCAGGCCTCGCTAACAGACATGGGAGGCACTCCAGGCTCTCAGCCTTCCCCTGCCTTTGCTGTTTCAGGCCAATGAGATGCTCTTCTGCGGGCGGAAGCTCACTGCCCAGGAGGCGTGCAGCAGAGGACTCGTGTCCCAGGTCTTCTGGCCAACCACGTTCAGCCAGGAGGTCATGTTGCGGGTCAAGGAGATGGCGTCCTGCAGCGCGGTGGTGAGTTCCTGTGTCTCCGTATGCTTGTCCTTGCAATAGACCCACTTTACCGATGAGGGCAATAAGACTGGAAGGGACTAATTCACTTGCCAAAGGTCATGCAGGGAGTACGTGAAAGGCCCTGGGTAATTTGACAAGTGCTTCCCCTCGGTGTTGAGAGCTTAAATCCAGAGGGAGACGGTCAGCATTATTAGATATTCCCCATCCTCTCCAGTTTGAAAACCTCACAGAAGAGATTTATACTCTGGGGTAGAGTGTGTTGCCTTAAAAGAAAGTCCTAAACACACACGAAAACACAATAGCTCTATAGTTTTCAAAGAAATGGGAAGCGAAGGCAAAGAAGGACAAAGGCTATTAAACCCGCTGAGAAATGGGAGAAACAGTGCGCGCTGTCCTTGTGTGTCATTTCTCGTACCTACCGCGTGCCTGGCCCATTTAAACATCACCGTTTGACTCTGAAGACACATTGAAAAATAGGTAAATAAATAACACCTCTGCAGAGGCACCGGTTTTTAAGTGTCAATTTTATCTCAAAAGTCACTCTGAGCACAGTATGGAAATATCCTGTTGAAAGGTGGAAAAAAGGCCGCTCCTGGAGCCATAGGGCCGTTCAGGAAATGAGAAAGGCACTCTGGGAGAATGAGGCCCGGGGACTCTTCCTGGGCTTCAGGGTCAGGGAGGTGCTGGGCTGGATTTATGGGCCAGACCCGTGACCCTCTCTTCCTTCTCCCCGTCTCCCCTGAACCCCCACCCAGCTGTCATGCCTCTCCTGATCCTCCTCATTAGCCTTTATTGGGCACCTGCTGTGTGTAAGCTCTGCTCCATGGAAGCTAACAGTACCAGTGATGATGGTGGGGTGGTGATGGTCCTGCATCCTTGATGAACACTTACTGTGGGCCGAGCGCTGTGCTCTTCTCTTATGTGGCTTCTCTTTCAATCTCTCTGATGCCTGTGGTGACCAACTCGTCCCACTTTGCCTTGGACTCTCCTGGTTTTAGTGCTGACAGTCTCGTGTCCCAGGAAACCCCATGGTCCTAGGTGAACAGGATGATTATGACGCTAGGCTGAGCTGCACAGAGAGGCAGGTGGAAATTCTAAGCAGAGAAGATGGCGTGAGTAAGGGCACATGAGTCTGAACAACCACGTGGCGTTTAGGCAGCGGCTCATGGTGGCGTGAGCAGGTACACAAGGTATTCGAGGGACAATCAGACTGAGAAGGAGGGTAGGAGAAAGTCTTCAAAGCTCCGTTGAGGAATTTGGTCTTCGGGCAGTGGGGATTCTCAGGTGAAGGCAGCTGTGGAGGAAATACTGCAAGGAAGTGTCTCCTGTCAGCAGTTAGGAATCCAAGGGCTTTGGGGTGATTTGCCCAAGAAAGGAATCTACTCCTCAGTCTCTTGTGGGTGATGTTCGGAGAAATTCTTGGGAGGAAGGAGGTGGTCTCAGTCTGCCAGCCCGTCAGCCTCCAACCCTCGTTGAGGAATAAGATCACGGCGCTTTCCAGGCTGCTGGAGCAGGGCGCTCTTCTCTTGCCTTTTCCTATTTGAAAGCGCTTGTGGGAGTGTTAACGGAAGCCTTGACATCAGCAGAGGATGGTGGAGGCCAGTGGAAGGATGCTCGATGCCTCGCTTGCCAGCAGTGCCTCTGCTAGAGTGAGACAGCAGTGCGTCCTCAGAATCAGCCAGATGTTTGCAGGCCACATCCGTCAGGCAACTCTGGGCAACTTGACTTCGTTGAGCTCAGGTCCTTCATCCATAGTGTGGAGATTAAAATACTACCTGTTTGCAGAGTTATCATGAGGAGGAAATGAAAGAATGCGGGAAAAGTGCTTCTCATAGTGCCTATTGGTTACCAGCGATTGTAGTAGCTTTGCTATTATTATTACTATGATCACTACGATGATCATTACTTATTACTATGGTTATTATTACTACGATTACCATCATCACTACTATATTACTACTATTGCTGCTATTATTACTACTACAATACTATAGCATTCTTACTATCATTGCCACTATCACTACTATGTTACTAATATTACTGCTATTATTACAACTGTAACACTATAGTATTATTACCATTGTTATCATCACTGTTATTACTCATTACTATGATTATTGCAGTTATCGTTACAATGATTGCTACTATTATTACTGATGCTCTTACTACTAAGCCTGAACAAGGGGCATTGCTGTTGGGGTGAGCCATGTGGATACTTTGACGACCATTAGTTCATTTCATAATCTTACTCTGTGATCCCAACCATCCTTGAGTTAGGTATCATTATTCCTGTTTCACAGATAATGAAAATGAAGCATGGGGAGGTGAAAGCAGTGTTTCCCACACTTTTTCGTGACACCCATAGAAAATGATCCTGAGCTTATGTCACCCCTGGGTGAAAGGCAAACCTCTTGTGGTCACAGAGAATGCAGGCCGCACTCAGCCATCCCAGGGACGAGGGCTCAACATCTCGGCACGCCTGGAATCCGTCCCTGGCGGTGCTGGGGACAGGGGCCTGGGAAGCCTGGGACCACAGGAGGCAGCCTCCTCTGGCTTTGGCCGTTGGAAGGTTAAGTGGTGCCTCGTAGGCCACGTCCGTGCTTCTGGAGCAGATCCCTGGCCGGCTAACGAGGCTTGTGTGTTTCCCCTCAGGTGCTGGAGGAGTCGAAATGCCTCGTTCGGAGCTTCCTGAAATCAGTGCTTGAAGACGTGAACGAGAAAGAATGCATCATGCTCAAGCAGCTCTGGAGTTCCTCCAAAGGCCTGGATTCCCTGTTCAGCTACCTGCAGGACAAAATTTACGAAGTTTGAAGGGCCGGGCTCCCTTGCCCCACTGCCCCAGGGCATCTGACTTCCAGCTCTGCCCCGTGTTTCAGAACTGGGACAGAGCACAGCGTATGCCCGGCCAAGGAGTTTGTCCAGGTGTCTCTTTACACCTGGGGTTGTGTCTATTTCCTCGTGTGTTTGGTTGCTCCTTATTGGTTTGGTTTCGTGTGACAGATGGGAAACGCAGCATCCTTGGCCTCCCCGGGCCCCTTCCCCGCTGGCTAGAGAGCCATGGAGGGCTATCTTCCCAGGCCTCTGCCGGGTGCCGCTGTCCTGTCCCCACTTGCTGAAATGCACCATCCTGGTCCAGGAAGGGGAAGACCAGTTTCCCCATCCTTCTGCCTCAGGCTGTGTCTACACAGTGCCTCTGATTTGGAGACTTGGCTGTCATGGCTCTCTCCGGTTAAGTGCAGATCTGGTGACAGGAGCCAGTCAGTCTTAGGGAATTTCCAGACCAATGAGCAAAAGGATTGTGTAGAGCCAGCCTCAGTCTTCTCTCTGATGCAAATCTGTGTGACTTTTAGGGCTTGGTCTTCAAACCCAATTGAGTGATTTACGAACCCAGATATTGTACATTTAGGAATGTTTTGTTAAATATATATTTTTAAAACGATGTAAGTGGAAATTCTGATAATTTATGTGTATTATATGTAAAGCTAGTTTTGCAAAAACGTGAACTACTAGGAAAATGTTTTTTCTTTAATCAGAGTTATTTAATTTATTTATTTTTGTTTGTATATTGTGATATCTGTCGTTCACACAGGTATTATTTTCATACTGCCCTGGACCAAATCTCGTACAAGGTTTATGCTGTTTGGTGCATTCTAGCAATGAACCACGTAGAAATAAAATTCAGAGAGATGAAAACAGAAGGATTTCTGTGGATAGATGGAGCAGCTCTGCACCAGATCCTCTATGTGTAAAACAGTTCTCACCTGTAGTAATTGGATACTTGTTCTTAGCAGAAATCATGGAAGAGTTTTCTCTTCATCCACATCAGGGAGCAATAATCAGGGATGAAGTCTCCTGCGCCAGGGCTGCATGGGGATCCCAGCACCTGTGTTTAGAGCATCAGCCCAGAGTCCCTGGGACAGCTGCAGGGAAGGACAGGTTTTGGTTTTGGTTTTGGTTTTGGTTTTGGTTGGTGAGGAGAAGGGTAGACATCAGGGTTGGAGCAGAGAAATGACAGGCGCATGTTCCGTATGAGGCTCAGCCTATTATGGGGTAAGTACCCAGAGAAAGTTAGATTCTCAGAGTGGTGGGATTTTTCCATTTCCATCACAGCCTGAGTGTTCTCTGAGGCCCTTTGCTCGTCCCGTCTTCTCTTTCCCTCTGTTAGTCCTCAGCCTCTCTCGAGCCTTCCTTGGGGAGAGTTGAGTGGAGCCGTAAGAGTTGGGCACAGCTTGGGGGCGAGGAGGTGGGATGAGAAGAGGGAACATCAATTGCTATAGTCATCTAGCTCTCTCTGGTCCTTTTTCCTCTCTTCAAGGTGACCAGATGCAGTGGGCCGGCAAGTGGAGAGGATTCATGGCCCTGAGCGTTGTGTTTCAAAGAGCAGGTTGAGTGTCTACACTATGACTAGAGACGGTCCTTTAGATGGTGAATCTGAAGCTTATCCGGACTCCTGAGTCTTAAGATGGCCTTGGTTCCCTCTGAGGAAAACCTCTCTCCTTTCGAGTCTCCCCGTGGCTTCATGAGGGTCACGGAGGAGGAAGCGTCTCGCCTTTTCCTCCCTTTTCTTCCCGTCTGTGCCATCTTGGCCGTGGGGAGCCGGCAGGGGGATGACCAGCTTGGCTGAATCCAGCCAGAGGAGGATGGAGTGGAAGTCCTGTATACCCCGCCCTTCATCCATGTGGGATCCTACAGGAACTGCAGACCTAGGCTCTAGGGAATTACTAGGGGAAGCACCTGCTTTTGCCCAATGCCTGTTGTCACAGCTCCACTTGGGTTTTGTCTTTTCCTCTGAGAAAGCAAATGTATACTTTCTCAAAGCCCCCAGACAAACTTCCTTGTTGTGTGTTGTGGCAGATAATTTCTTCACCATTGCTAAATTCTCTAAAGAAGGAGCCCCTGCTTTCTGTGTACCTTCTGGGGGCAGCTATGTTTTACCATCTATAGAAGCAGCATCAGGATTCTGGTTGAAGATGGAAGAGGATGTTTGGAATTCCTTTTGATCAATGTCCATCTTTGTTCCTTGCTGAAAAAACCAGAAATGTTTTAGCTTTGAACGTGTCACAAATCCAAGCTTCTAAACATTTCAAGGATCTCTGATGATAAGGTAGGAACATGAAACCATTCCTAAGGTGGAATTCCTGTTTTTAATTTATAGGTTCTGGATATAACAAGGGGTGTTTTAAAAGATTCTGTGTTTTGGTTGTTTCCATGCAGTCAGTTCAAGAGGATGTTCCACATACTGGGCCAAAGTTGGTTAAATCTGTTTGCTGCAGGGTGAACTGAGCCACTGAATTTTTCACCTTCTGCAGAGTTGTTTTGATAATGTGTAGATGAAATCCAGGTAACTTACAGAAAATCAACCTGGGATGGAAAATGGCAGACCTGTGGGTGTGTCAGGGTTTATCCTAGTTGCTTTCTTGAGATAGGGCTCAGGCTTCCACGTTTCTTCTTCTACCCTAGCACCCTCTCTCCACCCATAGGATCCTTTCTCCCCTCTCTCTCCCCTGCTTTGCCTCCACTGCACCCCATGTCGGTCACTTCCAGAGCCTGGGGAGGTCTTTGAGGAGTGGTCTCTGGTCTCAGCAGCCCCATCCCAGAATCACCTTTGGGGTTGGAAGAACTGCTATGGGTGGGAAGTGGAGGGTACCTCTTTAGTCAAGGAAACTTCTAGGCAATCCAGTCCTTGATATCTTGTTAGCCATGCATTAGAACTCTCCTTCCCTCCCTGCTCCCACCCTAATGATTAGTTCCCAGTGTCTTTTGGTGGAACCATTCGAGTTAACAGCCCTGTTCCGAGAGGACTTTCTGCAGAACTTTGCTGAGGTGGCCAGAGCTTCTCATGATTCGGAAGTCACAGCCTAACGCTGATGTACCCACTGTCCCTTCCTGTCTTGAGATAATGTCTGTGGGTGAAAATCATCAAAAATTACCCTCTAAGAATGAAATTGGATAACCAGGAGAAGGTAGTAGAGAATCAATTTAAAATATTGTTCTTTTTCATTGTAGATTAATTAGGAAATGTTCTCTCTGAAGCATGGCAATATGTTTTTCCCATATGAAGTTTAGTATGAGGATGGAAAAATAATAATCACCATAGACTTCAAGCAGTGCCACTATATCCCCTAATATCCACAATTAAAAATAGCCTTCACTGAATGCTGAATTTGCAATTCCCATTATTAATTGTTGGTTTAAAAATTTTGTAAACTTTTTTTAGTTTGAAATTTAGTCACATTCATGCAATTTACCAATCTAGTTTCTGTGGAAATTTTTTTTAACAAAGAGAAACAAATGGAAACATCTTCAAATCTTCCTAAGTGAATATTTAAAATACAGAATTGCTTCTCTTCTGTGTTTCTGTATTCAGATAACTTAGATCTGTTGTATATATTAGTTTAGACACTCTTACTAATATACACAGTATTTAAGACTCTAAATGAGATTTCTTAAGTATTTTATTTTATTCTCTGTAAATGGTTTTGTATAATCTTTAAAAATCTACACTTTGCCTTTGTAGATGTTTAAGGGAAACCATTTGGGGGTTGTTTGCATGTATATTTTTGTTGTAGATAAGTGTTGCTTAGTTATTTCTGCAAATTTTGGTTGAAATGCTTACAGACTTTAATACAGTATATATTTTCAGAATATAAACTTTTATATTTCTGTGGTAAGTTAGGAGATGCGTTTTAGGCAATCTTTTCCATTAATATCACTTGTTCTTTCAAAAAATAGCATACTGGTTTCGTGCCAATGGTTTTTTTTTTTCCCCCCATTAGACTCTAATGCTCTTATATTATTAGAAAGCAGGTTAATTTTCTTTTCCTCAAAGTAATTGAGTTTGAAGTGTAATTTGAAAATGTATTGAATTTGTGAATAAGCCTTACCATTAGGATCAGTAAATTTTCCAACCTTTGCAACTACATATATAGTTTAAGATCTCCCCATAAATTCTCACTGTGTGGCAGTTGATGGAGTTTGTGAACAGAGCCTTAAGCTTGTTGCAAAAAAAAAAAAAAGGGTAATACGGGTTGTTTCTTCCAAGCAACGAAAGCCATGTTGATGGACTCAGTGCAGTCTGTAAATCATGGCACATCTGGAGGGTTTGGTTGAGCTGATGGCGGCCGGGGGCCAGATAGGCACCTTGGTGATTGTCTTTGGCCGTACAGATGGACCAAGGACAGGTTTTCCGGAGCCACCTTCATACTATTCACATGATTTAGACATGGTCACAGGGAGGGCTGCTGGTCCATCATTTGTCCTGAACAAATGGCATTTCCTGCTCCTGACCTTGGCGGTTGACCCCAGGTTCCCTGTGGATGACCAGGAAACATCCAGCCTGGCTGAGGTCAGCACTCCTTGAAAGATGTTAACAAAGTTTACATGTGAGTCTTACTGTGTAGACAATCTGAAGTAGATTTCAGTTACATAATCAGCATTCCCATGTGTCCTGAGTGTCTTATCAATGAACTGTGTGTGTTAAGTCATACTAAACCTGAGTTTAGCAGAGCAAAGGCAGACTAGATGCAGAACATACACATCAGCTGAATCAGTCCACCTGGGGCTGTTTTAATGGAGCAAAAGTCATGGAGCTCATTGGTGGTACATCCCCTTGTCTGGGACCTAAGAAAACCAACTAGAATTTGGACTTAGATTTTTTTAAAGTTATGATTCATTTTGGTTGGTACACTTCATAGTTACCAACTGATTCTCCTTGACAAGGCTTTAAAGATGATCTTGAGACCAGGGCTATAAGTATGGCTAAAGTCAAGTTATTTGGTTCATTTCTAGTAAGTGTTCATAAAGTCAGCTTACCTACCATTAGGGTGGAGATCTGCCGCAAATGTTAGCTGTGTGTGGCGGTCAGGGAAGCTGGCGTCTAGTCCTAAGCTTCAGCTCTGGCGTCTCCGTGGGCTGAGCGTGTCTCGTTGGCCCCACACCTGGCCTGATGCTGGAGCACATTAAGGTGACTCTGGGAAGTCTCGAGGATGTGGAGTTTTCCATCTAGGATTTAGTTTGTCCCTGTGCCATTAGTCCCAGCTTGAAGTCACTTGCTGATGTCCATGTTGACAGGATTGTGAAAATATTGCCTTTCATGAAACCAAGGACCAAAGAATTCCATTATTCCACCAAAGCATGAGTTTCATAGCTTGTGGGCACATCTAGATAGAGATGTGCCTGCTTCATGGCACAGAGAAACTGCTCCCTCTACCAACCTCATGCTCCTCCTGCCTGGCCCTACAGAGGGGTCTGTTGTCACCTTGGGAAGGCTCTGGAAGATGAGCTTCTCAGATGGAAACTCGCTGTCTCAGGTGGGTGTTTCTGCTGTGCAGTCCCAGCCTTTATCCATGTCACAAAAAGTGGAAGTCTGGCCTTCTTCCAGGTTGTCTCACCAGCGTACACTGCTCCATCTGAATAGGCACCTCCGGCGTGAGTTTTTCAGGTGTGTCTACGCTGGGCAGTGATCCTGCAATTGCTAAATTTCCACTTCTTTTTGTTCTACATCGACCCATTCCAATTCCTGTTT